AATCCCAGCTTCATTTGCAATTTCAAATATCTTCATTTGCATCCCTCTCTGGAAAGAGGGTGCAAGTGTAGACATACCCTAAGGTGATACAGGACCATTGTTTTTTAAGTTCATTCACAACTGTTCAAGCAATGCTGGCAACTCAGTAAATCTCCTACACTTCTAATCTCTGCGGCTGAGAAAAGTATTTGACAGGAGGATATGGATATAGGTATGAGGTGTGGGGGGGAAATTAGGTGGCTATAGCAAACACTGCATAGATACTCAACCCTGGTCATGTATTGCCATCAGAAGAGTTAACATGACACATACCCTGTGTCTAAACTGAGTGAAGAAGTAATGAAACAGCCAACAGAAGGGGAAAGAGAATATTATCAAGCAGATATTTAAATAGTTTTATTACATGACTTGCACTATTGTACTTAAATCCCACATCCACTCCTTTTATTAGCTTAGTTGATTGTTCCCAAATGGATCAACTTGGTTGTTGTTCTCATCCAGATTGGCTTCACAGCTCATCACACACTCATTGCAGCAATAAGTAACAAAGGAAAACAACCCTGCCTCCCCATAGAGTCAGCAAGTTTTAAGGGCAGAAGGAACCACTGGATCATCTACTCTGAGCTCCCTTACATTACTGGCCACCAACATCACACAACACCAGCATACTAAACCCAGCAACAAATGTACAATGTAAATGAGACCCATAGAAGACTGGACTGTTACGTATGATGTGAACAGGTAACCAGTTACCTGATAAACATTACCCTTACTCGATGATGCTTACTGGTAACCAATTAACTAGTGCCCAGGAGCTGCCTCCCTGCCCACAGCACACCATGGTATGGGCGCTGCTCCAGCCCAGTTGGGCCCACCTCTTCATGGGGCCCACAGAAGCTGACACCCCAGAGTAACATTTAACCGGTTAACTGATTAAATGGGATTTTAATCCCTACTATTAACAGCAGTCAGTTGCATGGGCCTGAGTTAAGGCCCAATGAAGTGAATGCAGACTCCCCTCACCTTTCCACTAAAGTCACTTGGAGATTTTGCCACTATCTTATTCAGGGCCAGGATTTCATCCAATAGGTTTACTGAAATGAAGCTAGGAGGGAAAACACACCTGTGGCATAAACAGTGTTCTCTCTAATTTTTCCATACATGTGCAGAATAAATGTTGTTCTGCACACCAAGTCATGTGCAGATGTGCACCACCAGAAGAAACACATGCTTCTGGCTGTGGGCGCTCTACTAATCAGCTGGGCGGCATTTGAATCTCTTGGGTGGCATCCAAGCACTCAGTTTACAAGGAACACTAGCATAAACCGTTCTTTCCTTCAAGACCAATTCACGTTCTTTCCAGCACAATTTAGATAGGAAGAATTTGCAATTTTATCACGAGATGTTGTAACTCATCCTTGTCAACAATGGATCAAAATCATCTTAGCTGCCTTGGAATCAGTGTCACTTTCAATATGCCCAAGAATTAATAGCTAAGAACATATAAGGGCAAGTACAGCATCTTGGAGAAGCCACATATGCAGATGCCAGTAAAGAAAGGAAAATCACATTAATTCAGTGTAGCGTAAAAATGGTGTCAGAAAGCATGATCCTGACAACAAGAGAGAAAGCATTCCTAGGTCAGTTCTCCCTTAAGACAACTATACTTCCATTAACCCAGAGAAATTTCAAAGTTACAAATAGATGTTCCACTATTACACTGCAAAAAGCTATGTTGGCTTCAAAAACATAATGCTGGTTTATCCCCAAATAACATGCTGATAGCAGGAAAATACTCTTATGAAGCGAGAGAATTACACAGGCTGCTGTAATACATAAGGTCTCAGATCTGCATACAGACAAATTTGTGAATGCTTACTCTGAGAGACAGACGCACCTAAAGTGTAAAGAATTGCCAAGGGGCATCCTGAAACACGGAACCTCTGTGGCAATATTACAAGCATAAAGGAGTGAAACACCTGTATGCTCAAAATTTGAACTGAGGGGAAAAAGCACAAAAAAAACCCAACAGCTGCAACTCAATACTTGAGGGACCCCTCCAGTGATAAGCCACTATGCAGGAGCCCTAGATAAGAATGTCACCTGTCCTAATTTTCAGTGAGTCACTCCATCTGTTTGGGAATCCCAACATTCCTGGGGCATGCAAAATATTATGCTGTAGTGTCAAGATGCAAGAACATGACATCATCATGATGCTGCCACATATGACTGTGTTCTACAGGAGCCACAGGTGTGGAGGTTGGATGAAAAAGGGTTCATCCCTCTTCTCCTGTCCTTCCCCCATTTGATTTTTAAAAACATATAAAAAAATAGAGTATATTTAGATAAGATACGTAGACAATATTCTTTTAAGAGTGCACAAGAGACAATAGCCAGTGGAAGTAGCCATAATTTAGGACCTCTATTGTATAAAAAGGCAAAATCTTCAAAAGAAACCTTACTTGTAGAGCAATGGTTCTTAAACTTTTTGGCCTGCAGCCCATCCTGCTTAAGACAAATATTTCCGTGCACTGCCAGCCAACCACACCTGGATAAAATGTGTTCAGGATGTGGTGGTAGTGTGGGATCTGTCTAGAAGGTTGAGTACAGAAGCGGGTTGGGGGTGGGGAGTCTGGGCAGGAGGTAGGGTACAGGAGTGGGCTTGGGGTAAGGAGTCTGGGCAGGATACTGGCTAATGGAGCAGCGTGGAAAGCCACCACTTGTGCCATTTCCTGCATTGCCATCTCCTCAGCTGGGGGGAGGGAGGGGTAGCAACAGCATGTGGAGCCACTTCCTCCCCCGAGGAACTGGATCCAGCCAGTGAGGCTTGGGGGGGTCCCTGCCCCTGCTGCAATCTCATTGGGGGGGGGGAAGGGGATGCAGGACTGGAGTACCACCACTGGCTTCCCACTGCTGGGGGTGGGGGAGAAAACAAGCCCATAGGCCACAGCCTACTTGTAAGACAGTCACAGATCACTAGTAGTCTGCAAACCACGCTCTGAGAATCACTGGTATAGAGATTATATTAACAATATAGCATCTCCGAGACTATATTTAATATGACTTACTCCTACCTAACTATATCATGCCTATATTAACCAGGTCTGTAATATGGGTCAACACCACAATTACACCATTAGGTCCCAACTATACAAAGAAATCTAAGCCAGATATAGGATATGATCAGAGTGGGGGAGCTAGGTTATGTCAAATACCATCCCCGACAATTATTTTTCAATAAAGGAGAAAATTAATCTGCCAAGAGTATCCTGATTCTGTCCACTTACAAATAAAAAAAAAAATAAGTGCTGGGATAAGTTAACAGTCTTAATCTACAATCCAGTTATACCACAAAGTGTATCCTTATTATAAAATTCACACTTGTTTCCTCAAACTGCTTTGGGGCAGGGGAAGGAACGGGACCCAGTGCTAGGACAGGTCAAGTTTGAAATAAATCAGTAATTGTACACAAAACACACCACACACACCACCCTGACTATAATGCAAAGCAGCAGGTGTTAATTTCTTTCAAGAGATGGATTTCATTATTGAATCTACACTTCACCATATAACAAGATGTATTTTTAAAAAGTAATATTTATGAAGATTTAAAATTCAAAAGCAGGTGCCAATACATTTCCTTATGACAGACAAGTCTTGTTACTCAGGTATATTCCACAGTTTCCCGCTTTTTTTGCATACCCTGTAGAACCTGAATCCTTTCCTAAAAATGCCTGCATTGCCACTAATAGGAATGCCCATAAACATATTCCTCCTGAACTGTTGGGAGAACAGACCTCAGATTAAAACCAGTTTGATTTTACACCATTAGGTACTTTAAGAGAAATTGGGAAAAGGACACACACTGTACAGCTTTTCCATTTTGAAAAGTAAAAGTAACAGCTTTATCTAATCAACTCAACTGTCTTTTGCTGCAGTCAGATATGTAAGTCACATGTCAAGTGCACAAGTCATAAGCAGCAATGTACAATGGATAAAGTACAACATCCACATTGAGAGGAGTTAAACATTGCCGGTATTTATGAAGCATGACCAAGTGGCACTTAACCTAAAGATGTGAGCATGAGGATTTCAAAATTACATTACACCTACACACTTCACAGGTGAGGATCAGTCTGTACAAATCCACCATCACCTCAAGGGTCAGTGGTTTTATGGTTTTTTAATTCCTTGAGGAAAGGAACTTAAAACTTAAAAAAAAAATCATTGTTGTTTGTGTGTTTGCTTTCCTAACTATTTAACTAGCAACATCTTTTGGGGAGGACGCAACTGTCCTCACACACACACTTTATTACAAGAAATTGAGCAAATAATTTCAAATGGAAGAGGCAGTTTTGCTAAGAGCAAAAGCTATGAAGAAAGATAAGTGCTTCCTTTTAAACAACAAAGCAAATAAGCCTACCGGCAAAAACCATAACCGCTTTCCTTTTTGGAAAGCTGCTTTCACAATGGCCTTGCCCAGCAGAAATATGCTAGGACTTCCGAAGGGAAAAGTCAGTAGAGACTATCCCTTTTTCATTTACATAAAAAAGGTGAACACTAGATAATTTGCAGCTCACCTGCAGGACTGCATTTTAGAAGAGGCCCCCAAGACATTCTCATTCAGAGTTCTCTATCTCCCCCCAACACCAGTGCACCACACCCCAAACATTACCATCAACAGAAACATTTGCTACTAGTTAAGCTATAATACTGTTTCTCAACTGTTGTAAGGCATTGACATGAAAGCGATCATATAAAATTAATACTTACTCAGCTATTTTTCCCACAGCTTACTGTTTCTACATCCACTACCGTCTCCTGATGCTTGTACCTGTCAGCCAGTGCCCACTGTTAGTCCACCATGCGTGGCAGTGGATCTTACAAAGGCATTCAGGTGGCACTGGTCAGAGATACATGCGATTTGGGATGCCTTGTCGGGTTTAAACCACCATCGTACCTCCCCCCGCCCTTCAGAGTTCTGACACGCCGCCACTTACTCTTGAGAGCTGCAACGAGTGTCTTCCCATCTTTGATAAGCTCCTTGATGAATTTGTTGGTCTTGTCCAGCTCAGCTTCATGAGATTTCAGCCTCTCTCGGAACTGGGGGCTATCCAAGCAGCAGTCACTAAATTCCAAAGCAGGTAGTCCCATGGCTTCTTCGCGCCCCCCTCCAACAACCCCTTTAAAAAAATCCCACCGAAGAAGCAATTCCCACTAGTGCAACCAAATAAATTGTAAAACAAAAAGAAAAATACAAGTATATGCCTTAGTCTCTTTGAAAAGAAAACGAAACTATCCACAGGAAAGCACCGCTCTCCTCCCACCTGGTGTCACGGTGGCACCTTAGAGGGACGGAGGAGAATCAATTAATTAAAAATAATAAGCAGGTCAGAAGAGTTAATGAGGCTCAGGATTTTCTTTGGGATCCGCCTCAGATGCAAGGGGGTGGGAACAGGAGCAGCAAAGAGGAGTGGGGTCGTGCTGCAGTAGCAGCAGTTGCTGCTGCCTGGGGATTGCTCATGGCGAGAGCTTCCACGCACGCTGCAAACCCAAAGGTGCCTCCTCTGCTGTCTGCCAGCCCATTCAATGCTACTTGCTACCTAAAGTTCCCCTAGCTGAGCGAGAAGCAAAGGAGCCCAGCGGCCTCACTCGGCAGCAGCTGCTGGTGAGCCCAGCCAGACCTGATGGCATCCGGGACCAATCGGGACGCTTCCCTTCCCCGTTGGAACGTTGTGTATCATTTTTCCGAACGCGCTTCCCATTGGAACGTCGGGTATCTTTTTTTCGAACGCGAGGCCTCCTCTTGCGCCAGCCGGAGCCAATCGGCTCAAGACCTGCTGGGGGCGGGAGGGAGGAGAGATGCCCCAGCGATGATAAAACTGCCTTGGGGGGCGTGGCCAGGACTGTGTTAAGCCGCATGGAGGGGAGGGAACCCCCACCGTATCTTAAAGGAACAGCTACGGAGACCGCAGAAGGAGTGGGGGAGGTGTTGCGACACGAACAAGGGTTATTCAAGGACATTTCTCTGAAACCTGTTCCTATAACTTCGGGAGGGAACAGAGGAGACCCCACAAGAATAGTATAGGAATTTAGAGAGGGGGCACGTCCTAGCTTCTGGTGTGATTCCTTAACGCTGCTAATCCCTGCTCAGGAAAAGAGGACTTTCCTTGTCAGTGTTCTACAAAAACTTTCTTCATACCAACCTTCTATTATATTGGTTTAAATGGAACACTGGAAGGCAGGACACCTGGTTCTATTTCTACCTCTCCCAATGGGCTGCTATTTGTGACCTTTGGTCAATCATTTCACTCCACCAACTCGATTTCCCATCCCATCCTTCCTGTATCTGGATTATCTACATTGTAAGACATGCTGGCTAGCAAAGTTCCTGTGAGCTGACATACTGCAATTCATTTTTATTCTTACAATTTTCATTTAATTTTTTCTTCACAAGTTTTTCAGGTTTTGTCAATAAAACTTAAATCCTAAAAGTGTGTGTTTGGTTTATTTTCAACTCAAAACAGAAAAATTGGTGATTTTGGTTTTTCTTTGAGTAATTGAAATTTTTTGTTGAAAACGCTTCAAATTCAGATTTTTCTGATGAAAAAGTCATTATTTCATCAGAAAGAGTATTAAACAATACATTTTGATTAGGTCTAATTATGAGCACTTCAGGGCATCTATTACTATCTATTACTCTGTCTAGTACAATTGTGCCCCAATAGTACTAAAACATACACATCCTGTGGATTAGTAAATTCTGTTATTCTTTGTATTTATTTAAAGATGGCAATGTGCTTGGGGCTGTATAGGGCACACAAAGAAGCCCTTGTCCAAAGAATTTGTAGTCTGATAGTGACACATGTAGAAGATTCAAGCATTGGGAAAGCCAGAGCTGAAGATGATTTGCTCAAACCATTACATCAGGCCTATTGCTGTACTACAACAAACAATTTTTGTGCTATGATTCTATAGCTGAGATGACAGTACTCATATTTTTAAATGTAGCTGTCATATACTACAGCTTTGATCCCATACAATGGCAATGGTTCAGCATTGAAATCCAAGCAATAATGGTACTAAGCATGTGCAGACTTCAACTATCAGCGCTGCAAGCAGCTCAAAGGGGCCACAGGTTAGTATATGTCCCAAAATGCTGCTCATTGTATTTAAGGTGGACTTTTTAGCAAGTGTGCTAGTTATATAGTGTTGATATAGTATTTTGTTTTGTGGAAATAATGCAATTAGTAACTGTAAGTGGAGGAAGAGAAATATTCCTGATTAGGATCTCCTCACTGTAGGCTAACATTGCCTCTGATCCAAGGCTATGTCTAGACTGCAAGCGTCTTTCGAAAGAGGCTCTTTCGAAAGCATCTTTCAAAAGAGCCTCTTTTGAAAGAGAGCGTCTAGACTGCACGGAGAAATTTCGAAAAAGCGGCTTGCTTTTTCGAAAGAAAGCATCCAGTGAGTCTGGATGCTCTCTTTCGAAGAAGCCCTATTTACATTGAAGAACGCCTTCTTTCGAAAGAGGAACTTTCGAAAGAAGGCGTTCTTCCTCGTAAATTGAGGTTTACCGCCATCGAAAGAAAAGCCGCGTTCTTTCGAATTAATTTCGAAAGAACGCGGCTTGAGTCTGGACGCAGGGGAAGTTTTTTTCAGGAAAAGGCTACTTTTCCCGAAAAAACCCCTGAGTCTGGACACAGCCCAAGACTGTAGTGAACACTTTTACTTTTATTAAATGTAATTTTCAAGAAAAATATGCAATTTAATGGATCAGCTTATTCTTCTATTCCTTGCTCTGCCACTGCCTTATAATGTGGCTAGAGACAAGCCATGTAACCATTAGTGTGTTGGTTATTCCACAAATGGAGATGATAGTATTTCTGAGAGGTATTGTGATGCTTAAATCATTAAAATTCATCTACAAAGGGGAAAAAATGAGCATGTGTGCTTTCTACATCTTTATTCAGTAAAGAAAGCATAACATTAAAGGGTCTTTCTTTCTTTCTTCCTTTCTTAGAAATTCAGGTCCTCAGTAGCCTGGAAGACTTCATAGCCCCTAGGACTCCATACAGGCAGACTTTTATGTCTAAGTCCAAAGTACACTGGCCTTTTGCCTTGTCATGTCAAAATCTCATATTGTATTTTCTGTCCATACACAATTGTAGGTCTTTTTCACCATTGCTACTTTCCAATTACACATCTGGGTTTGAGATTATTTCCCCAAATGTATGAACCATACTGGGTCAGACCAAAATTCCATCTAGCCCAGTATCCTGTCTTCCAATAGCAGCCAATGCCAGATGCCCCAGAGGGAATGAACAGAAATAGGTTATCATCAAGTGATCCCTCTCCTGTCATCCATTTCCAGCCCCTGACAAATAGAGGTTAAGGACACCATTCCTACCCATTCTGGCTAATAAGTCTATTTTTTTTTTTTTTTTTTTTTTTTTTTTTTTTTGAACCTTGTTAAAGTTCTGGTCTTCACAACATCCTCTGGCAAGGAATTCCACAGATAGATTGTGCATTGTGTGAAGAAAAACTTATTTTTCTTTGTTTTAAACCTGCTACCTATTAATTTGGTGACCCCTAGTTCTTATGTTATGGGAAAACATGTAAATAACTTTTCCTTATTCACTTTCTCCATACCTGCCATGATTTTATAGACCTCTATCATATCCCCCTTTAATCTCCTCTTTTCTAAACTGAAAAGTCCCAGTCTTTTTAATCACTTTTCATATGGTTTCCGTTCCAAACCCCTAATCATTTTTGTTGCCCTTTTTCTGAACCTTTTCCAATGCCAATATATCTTTAACAAGACATGAAAAATAAGACCTTAATTTTTTAAGACAATTTGCCATGAAGGGTAGGTGATTTAACAGATCAACTACACAGAAAGAACTTCCATGGAAGTACCATAATATGCCAGCAGCCCCACTCTGTCTCAGCAGGCTGGGAGTGTAGGTTCAATAAACCCCCTCTACATATGTTGTACTCAACTAGGCGTGTAGGATCAGGGACAAACAAGACAATGCTGTGTAGCTATATCACACAAATTCAGCTACTTTCATTCTCGGTTGAATATGTTTAATTTGCATAAGACAATATTATGCATTTGATGCACCATGTCAAAAGGGGTAGCTGTGTATATTTCCAGAACACGCTGTGAATTCAGAACAAGCATTGCTACCACAGCCCATTCACCTACCTACCTACCTCTCTATTGAAGACTTCAAGCCACAAATTCCAACCCACAAAGCAATCACTATTGTTAATTCCTTTGTCTTTGACTAGCCTGAGATGTATGGGGGCTTATTATCGGTTGACATCCTCCCCCCCATGGCATTCTCTCTTTTACTTCTTTCATCAAATGACAGAGCCAAATTCAAGTTTAATTCATCCCAATTTAAGCCTACTGCATTTAAAGAGATACTGACATATTTTTTATACTACCAGAACAACTGAAAAGAATTCCAGGGTCTGGGATGGAGGTTGCATGCAGAAGGGAGCTTGGGGGAAGAGACTGGGGTACAGGAGGGAGAATGGAGTCTGGGAGGGAGTTTGGGTGAAGGAGGCAGTTTGTGACCTAAAGCAGAAGACTGGGATGCAGGATTTTGGGATGTGACCTAGGGTGGGAGGGGCTTGTGATTTGGGGCAGGAGATTGGTGTGCCAGATCTGGGAGGAGGTATGGGTGCAGGAAGAGACAGAGGGTTTGGGTCTGTGGAAAGGGGGGGGCAGCAGATTGAGGAAGGGAGGGGCTGGACTAGCCCTATTGACAGTCACAAGATGTGCACTCTCAGCACTGAGTAGTGAGCTCTGGAATTCCCTTTTCGATGAGCCTGAAAACATTTGGTGTCAGAGCTCAGCCAGGCTTAGGAAAAGGAGGGATTTTGAATTCTGGCAGTCCTACTGTCTTCCCCTGTGTCCTTGAGTAGCCACACCCCTGCCTGAGTTTCCCTCACAAGTGAAATAGAAGTAACAATTACTTCCCTACCTCAGGCATAATGTAAAGTTTAATTAGCTAATATTACATAGCTTATGTTTCACATTATAAAGTACTAAGTATGATTATTGCTCACCTTAAAATTTTCTATAAATGGTTTAGTTTTGTCTACAATAAGCCAAAATGTCCCACCATTGTATACTTAAAGTACTATTGTTCTAGTTTCATGTTAATATGTTGCCGAGACCAACACTCATCAAATTACTAACACGGTAGAACTTATAATAGTTGGATAAATGCAGTAAGTGTTACTGGGACTAAAAGCTGAATTCTCTCTCATATATATATATATATAATTTTAGAGTGCATCTGTCTATCCGTGAGTCTGCGTATTCAAGAACTTCTTAAACAGTAAGAGCTAGGGCCACCAAATTTGGTATGCAGATTTCTCTTAGTCTAACTCAAAGAAAGGGTTTAGTTGTGCCAGGAAAAGGGAGAGGAAGGATCCGATACACACAGTGACCAAGAGGGCCAGTAAGTGCAGAGGGCAGCAATACTGCAGAGTGATCATTGGAGTCAGCTACAACAGTGTTTCTCAACTTAAGAGAAGTCTGGGGGGGGTATGTCAACACAACTGAAACTTGAAGAAAACTATATTTTTGTTTTACGTTTTATAGCACTTTGTTATTTTTGTATTTTTACACCCAAAAATGTCATCACCTACCCAGCTACGATTAAGTTGTTTAAACAAATGTGTTGCGATGATAGAAAAAAAATTGTGTGTATCTGAAAACTGTAGGTAGTGGGGGTACACACACACACACACACACACATATATATATATATATACCCCCACTACCTACAGTTTTCAGATACACACAATTTTTTTTCTATCA